GTCACGCACATGCATGCACATGGAAGTTGCAACATCTCTTGGATGCACGATTTCTCCGACATGGTGCTCTGTTCTGCTCTACGACATCCCAGGAAGGTTCCCGACAGTCCCGTGACGTCCAGGTGGTCGGAGATGGAGCTCCGTCGAGATTCCGGCCAACTTCGTAATTTCTGACGTAAGCTTTTCAGGCACGGTTTCCGGCTCCAGGATGATTCTCCGGTTAAGGGGTGGCAACGACGTACAACTAGGGTCTTCGGTAGAGTTCGGTGGTCGTGGTTCAACATGGACGGAGCTCTGCTGCTTGTCAATGGCGGATGGATGATGCCAAGGGTTGACGAAGAACTCTTCTTCCATTGAGAAATGACCATCATACCCTTATTAAAAATGCTGAATTGGGCTGCGTTTGTTGGACCGATTTGGGCTACTTTTCTTATGTAACCTGGGCCCTTGTGCGGCTGTAATTCGGCTAACATTATGGAAGTACAACCTTGTAGATATAGTACATAACTTGCACACCGTCATTGGCCGATTTTTTTTGCCGTTTTCGACTCCAAAAATTATTTTGGACCTGATTTCCTGATAAAACTCAAAATAACACTTCATCATAGCTTAATAAAAATAATTAAATAATAATTAATTAAATAACAATTAATTAACTATTAATTAATTATATATCAAACTACGACAAAATGGACACAAAAATCACTCTAAAATGCACCTAAATATGACTAATGTCACCGGTCCGAGGGATGAGAGTCTTCTATATCTCCTGTACCGCCATCGGGTACATGCGATATTTGATAATGTGCCGGGAGCTCGTGACATGATGCTCACAAACCGTCGTTTCGACACTCAGTTCTGGAAGGCAGTGCCAAAGCAGACACTGTCAGTTTGGAGGGCCATCGACTGGACTGGTTTCGGCCCATGTTTCGAATGGGTCGAGTCCAAGCAGACAACGCCCTCATCACTGCTCTCGTGGCCACCATCACGCTCCAGGACGTACAAGTCCTGTTCGGTCGGCCAATCAATGGAGCTGCTGTTTTGGGAGTGACTATAGAGCTATCACCCCTACAGTGGCGAGAGAGGTGCAAGGACTTGCTAGGGTTTGATCCCTACGTTCAGGTATATTTTTTCATAGAATTTTTTTTTTTAAATATATGTCAACTCAATTTTATCATTTTTAATATAGAAAAACCACTCTCAGGATCCTCCCACCACCGAGGCAGAGCAAGCAGTACAGGACCCTAGCAAGTGGGACATTAAAGGCCAGTGGTTGAATATCGGGATTTTGGAGAGGTCTTGCAACACTGAGTTGCAAGAAGGACGACTGGACATCGTGTACGAGCAGAGGGCGAGGGCCCTTATCTTGTGGTGCATTGGGTCCTTCATCTTCCCCGACCAGCGGGCGGATGGCGTCCCACTTTACTGGCTCCAGCTGCTAGAGGACATAGATGGTATTAAGGGGTACAACTGGGGTTCAGCGCTCTTGGTCGGAGTATACAGAGCGTTGTCGACCTCGTTCGTGGCCCAAGAGAAGTGGATGAAGAACTGCGTTCAATTGATCTAGGTAAATTTATTTAATTATTATTTGAAAATTTAATATTTTATTTTTCTTACTTCGACTAATACCTAATAACAAAATTAATGTCCATTTGTGTAGGTTTGGGCATGGGAGCATATCCCTCGTATTCGCCCAAAGGTGAAGAAAAGTATGTTTCATACTCTGCCTGATTGTCCATTGGGAGCGATGTAATCACTTTTATTTTTATTTAATCCGTACATTATTTTCATTATCAAATTTTGTGATTACAAACTTTTTTTTTCTGTGATTTTTAAGGTGGGTGGGACCGAGATCTAAGTCAAACATAGCTAGTACATTGGCCGCCTACCGGGATCAGTTGACAGGGCAGAGAGAGGATGAGGTAATGTTCTTAATTCAATTGTTTATTTGTTTTTACAGTTTGATTGGCAGCCCTATCGAGACGTCCTGAACAATGATTCTCTCAAGGGTGCGTGCACAGACGATCGACAATTTTGGACGTACTAGGGGTGGATCTTCAGTTGGAACACCCGGGAGGTACACCTGCCTGATAGGGTCCTCCCGTAATCTGGGTGTCGCCAATCCATCCCCCAAGATCCGATCATTTGGGATGAGCGAGAGTGGAACGCACACCACAGGGGACAGGGGATGAATGGGAGGACATTTTATGATTGGGCTACATTCCATGTACCGTTTCTGATCTCGTGGACTGAAGAAAGAGACCACTGTCTCCTCCCAGTTGCCCCTGTGTACGACTATCTGCAGCTGGAGCAGAGTTACCTTGAATGGTTTCACAGCAGGACTCGGAGATTGATCAATAACCCTGCCAATTACCCGGCGTTCCAACAGGCGGGCGGGTATCAGCCACTTGCCGAGCGGTTAGGCTGTCAGGTAAGTGTTCATTATTTGTGTTTATTATTATTATTATTATTATTATTATTATTATTATTATTATTATTATTATTATTTTGGTGTTTCATACTAATTATTATGAATTTTAATTACAGACTTCTGCACTATACGAGATTTATGGCGGATTATCCGATATGCAGCCATATGTGCCTCAAATCCCTCCAGAAGCGCGACTCGGCTTCCAACAGTCGTACAACTATGCCTACTCTTCTCTGACTGTTGGGGCCAGGGTGTTCCACATGGGGGGCCATCCAGTCAAGTTTTCTCCCAGGACGAATACATTCGCCCATGAGGACACAGTCACACACCGCCAGGCATCAACCCGCCCCCAACATTGGTGGGGGTAGAAGATCTCGGGTCCGTCCCCACGCTCAGCCGTCCACCCAGGCCTTCCCACCTCAGTCGTCCTAGCTGAAAAAAAATGAAAAAAAATTTAAAACGTATATATGAAATACGTTTTCGAGTTTAAAAAAAATTAAAAAAAAAAACGAATTATTAAACGTATTAATAAAATACGTTTTGGTGTTTAAAAAAATTAAAAAATTAGAAAATATAAAACGTATTTTATAAATACGTTTCTGTAATTAAAAACAATTCCGAAAAAAATTATTTTTAAAACGTATTTAAGAAATACGTTAAATTGTTGATTAATTTACTTAATTAAGCTCATTAAGTAAAACGTATTCAACGAATATGTTTTATTTTGAAAAATTAAGTAAACCGTATTCGTGGAATACGGTTTATAATAGAAACGTATTTTTAGAATACGTGTGTTTTATTTTCGTCTACTCAATTTTTTTTTTTGGTCCACTTATTTATTGTTTTTTTTTTAGTAAAAAATTCAAGAGGAGAGACTATAAAAGGGAAATTACAGCAATTTATCAAATCGAAATAAAATAATAGGATTCCGTTTGAGATGGTTTAATTTGAAGAGCGCTAAAAAAAACTTTCTCACTCTACACACTCCAAACCCACAAAGCTCATCACTTTCCCAAAGCAAGAAATTACACACAACAGATTATCACCATCTCTCGATTTATATTACAAGGAAAATCAAAACCAAAAACTGGGTTTGCATTTGCCATCAAGAATTTCGCCCAGGTTTGCGAGACTCTGCTCTGTGTTTTATGTGTGTTTTGTTCCCCTAATTGATTATGCCCTATTTCGAAAAATTCTGCTGGTTTTCTGTAGCAAGATCATTTTCTGTTTCTGTTATTAGGGTTTTGATAAAGATGTAGTCTTGTTTAATGGGTACCACTAGGTTTCTGATACTAAGAAGAATCAGTGAGGTGTTATTGATTGTACCTCTTGATGGCAGGGATCACTGCAGGTTGTTTTTGTGCGTCGAGGGTTTCGAGATATATGTGCTGTATATGTGTTGCTGTATAATTGTATAAATAAAGCATGGCTCTGGTCACCACTGCCCAGTCGATACGATACATGCCTGCGGCACCTCCAGCTGGCGCTGGTGACTTGGATGCTCTCAACCGTGTCCTGGCTGACCTATGTTCTCGCGGAATTCCCAAGGTTTAAATTTATACATTTCAGTATTTATTTATTTATTTATTTTTCAATTTATCTTATGATATCATGTATTTGTGCTTTATTTTGGCCAAAGATGGTATTTAGCTGTTTAGGAATCATGGATGGATCCAGGAAGTCGTCACGCTTCAACTACTGGCATGAAATAAATTTATTCACCAAACTACGTCGAGTGATAATTAATGTGTTCACGAATAATCCTATATTTCAAGAATTAGCAATAAATCGTAAAAGAAAGAAAGGAAAAAAAAACCGTGGGTCCCACGTACCCCATTTTAGGTGTAGTGGGTCCGACCTCCGACGTGGTTTGGAGTTGGCGTATAAGTTGCGGAAGTAGTGGGTTTAGGCAACTAATGCCAGCTGTGAGTCTTACTTATTGCACAGGCAGGATACTGCGTATTTCTTTGTCGTTTTTGCTTTCTTGACCATTTTAAATCGGCGTGTTTCGAAACCACTTGCAGCAGGAAAGAACTGATTTTCGATTGCTTGAGTTTAGGTGTGTTTATCTATGGTGATGTTGTTCAGTCTTTACTACATCAAATGATAGCCTTGTGCATGGCGGTTTATGAAATATTTTATGCTCAAATCATTTTGTGATGGTCATTTGAATTGTTAAGGTTGTTGTACTAGATGTTTATTATTATTGATTTCAACTGCAAGCTTAAATTAATCTAAATTAATCTGCAGGACGGGGCTGCTTTGGCGTTGAGTAGACACGTGGAGGAAGGAGCTCGTGACCTCAGCGGCGAAACATTTTCACGTTTTATGGATCAGCTGTATGATCGTATCACCAGTCTCTTGGAGAGCAATGATGTTTCTGAAAATTTGGGTGCTTTGAGGGCCATTGATGAGCTTATAGATGTAACAATCGAGGAGAATGCTGTGAATGTTTCAAAGATTGCAACTTACATGCGGACAGCATTCGAGGCCAAATGTGAACCTGAAACATTGGTAGTTGCCACTTGCCAGTAAAGTTCTGGGGCACTTAGCCAGGGCAGGTGGAGCAATGACAGCAGATGAAGTGGAGCGGCTGGTACATTGAACTTTTTTAATGCTCTTGGCAGCAAGATGTTGTTTTTTTTTTTTTTTTTTTTTTTTT